TAACGTGAATTTATCATTATACAGAGGTTCTCGTACACACAATGGTGTCGACATAATTTGCAAACCAGGGAGTTCTGTCATGACACCATTTGCTGCGAAGATCTGACGAAAATCACGTTCTTATTCAAACAACAACAAACCATATAACAATGGATTGTATATTCAAGGAAGCGGAGAAGCCGAAGGTATCATCTCTCTCACATTAACAACCAAATTCATATTAGGCACGGGAAATTCATCTTAGACAGGAAAGTTGATTGTAAAAACCCGTCTTAATATGACTTGGAATGGATATAAAATTTACACGTGTAATGGGTCGGGTAATGCTAAAAACGGTATCGTGATTATTACGATAATAATTTTGTTTATTTTCTCAGTTAAGCGCGCCTCACACGAGAGCTGGTAGCTGAGGTAAAGACCTCGCGAGGCTGTTAGCTCAGGAAGTTACTGTCGTGTGCGGATAGTTTTTCGTGTCGAATTCGCCTCGAGAGGCAACTTTCTATCGTGTGCGGATAGTTTTCAGGCTGAGTTAACTGCCTCGCGAGATCGTTAGCTCAGCTGATAGCTCTCGTGTGCGGTGGGCTTTACCCTTGTTCCGTCCTTGACCGTGTTGATATTTCAGAAACTCGTCTGATTTATCCGTCTAAATGCGAATTTAAGACGAGTTTCTCGTCCAGAAGGGATTCCCGTTCAAATTAACCGTTTGTTTAGACGGGAAAGTTAGGCGGGAAAATTCTGACGAGAAACCCGTCTGTGGCCTGATTCACATCAGACGAGTTTCCCGTCTAAGATGAGTTTCCAAGAGGAGTTTCCCCTGTTAGACGAGTTTCCTGTTTTCCTTGATCTTGTAAGACGAGTTTCCCGCCTCTAATATGAATTCGGCTAAACTAAATTTTGAACTATAATGCATTTCTCGAAACAGAATGAGTAATGAATTTGGTCATTGACTCCCTTCACCCCCCGGGTTAGGTCTAAATGGTAATTTCATGTCGTGCTTTCAAGTAAAGATAAAAATACAATAAAAATAAAAGAAAGTGTAGGCACAGAATACCTATCAGAAGAACAACTCCATAGTTTTTTGCATAAGTGGTTCCGTCACTCAGTAAGTACCGTAAATGGAGGCAATCACCCCCCTGCCAACCGTCCCATTTTCAATAGGCGCAAGGGGGGGTGTGATTGCTCCATTAACGGTACTTGCTGAATGATAAATTTGGAAGAAGTACCCCCCTGCCATCAGCCCATTTTAAGACTTGCAGGGGGTGATTCATAGAGGCCCAGTAAAAAGGAAGTGTTAAAATTGAATGATCAATTTCTTTTTCAGATATAAAATGGATATTTCAGGTGGTCTTGGAAGATCTCCTGGAAAGGTATCCATATTCACAATTTTGTTCTCCATATTCGCAGATATTCCCTGCATAATCGTAAATTTTTTCCCCTGTGAAAAACCTTACATTTTGTGGTGAAATTTTTCAGATATGGCGTGTTGGTCTGATGGGGTTGAACAGTACAAAAGATAATGTAAATCTTGTACTAAAAGCCTTCAAGGACGCGATGGAAAACGTGAAATTACAAAACAATCTGTGAGCAAACTTGAAACAAGAATTTTACTTTAGTTGACAAACCAATTTATATTAGTTAATCAGGGTTTTGTTTTAATAAAGAGTAAAACTATCTCTCCAAATCTTGTTAATTGTTAAATTTTAAAATGTGACTTGGTTTGTGGCCGTCTGACAGACACAGACATCATTTACAGACAGGCTGATATTTAAAATAGGTAACTGAGCTATTTCTTGAGCCAGAGGCTCAGTTAGGATTCTTGGTCTGGGGACCGGGGCAGAAGAACCCAGGTGGGGAGGCATTGGGTTGTGGCTGAAAAAACGTAGTGGTAGGAGGGGTGAAAAAACCTTTGGGAGGGTAGGGGTGAAAAAAACTAGGTGGAGTGGGTGCAGAAAATTTTATTTCAAATGTTTTATTTTGTGTTTCATTTTAAACCTTCTTCAATGAAAATATCTATTTCAGAGATTTGTCATTGTTCTTTAATATATAATTCTAAGAACTGACTCAATTTTAATTCAATCATAAAAAAATATAAATCAGTACATATATGTCTCACAATCAACTTAGAATGCTACAATCTATTTCTATAACTTTTTGAATATCTTATAGTTCATTTCAATTGTTCATAATATGTTAGGAATTTTCACTTAATACCTTACATATTGTTCACACAACAACAGCAGTGTGCCAGCATCTTGCTTGAGACATCTCTGGAAGTTCTTCCCAAGAATACCTTTCAAAGTTGAAACTTTCAACTGACTTCAGCTCTCCTTGTTCACCACGCCCTCCCAGGACTACAATGTTGTTTTCAATAACAACTGCAGTACATCCCCTCCTCTTACATCTCATTGATGGGAGCATGTGACTTTGTCCTGTCTTGACATTGTAAATGATAACTGTATCTAATGTCTTGCCATGTTTGTCAGTGCCACCAATAACAACAACGTTGTCTCCCCATCTCACCGTTGCCATAGCACTCACTTCATACAGCAGTGGTGACAACTGTTTCAGCTCATTCTTCTTTATATCGTACAGTACGACACTGCTGAGGCTGTCTTTGGAGTTGCCAGTTGTTCTTCCACCAACTATCAACAAATTATCATCAAATATTTCCATGCTGTGACCTTGTCTTGGTTCTGGCATTCTTGATAAGTTCTTCACAGTATAGGGAGGAACAAGCTGGACTGCTCTGATCAAGTCAGATGAAACATTTCCATTATCCCCTCCAGAGACTATCAACTGATCATTATACAGCACACTGCTGTGGTTCCACAACTTATCAGGTAGTTTAACAGGACAGTCACTCCAGTGTGTCGAGAGATCAGGGTTTGGGTCAATATTCATTCTAATCATATCATCAACATTTTCAGACAAACTACACCAACCCCCAGCTATAGTCATATGATTGTTATAAATGAATGAAGTCGCTGCCCAACGACCCTTTGGCATTAATTGTAATGGCGACCATGTTCTTTGATGCCAGTTAAACATCTCTACAGAGTTAGTCAAAAAACCTCCAGCAACAATAATATTTTCCTTATCACCACTTGGTCTATTTATTACTTTTCTTGTGTTTTCTTCTTTCTTGCCCTTCATCGTGATAAGAACGTCCTTCATCTCATCAAAAGCTCTGACGAAAGCTGTTTTCAATCCATCGACTTTGTTGTTAACCGCTTCGTGTTTTCCCTCCATATCTGCTTTTATATCTGCCGTGTTTTTGTCTATTTTTCTGTCTAAATTTGTTATTATAATTTCAACTGTTGTATTATTCTTCTCGATATTATTCTCGATTTTCGCTATTCTTTCCTCCATATCTGCCAAAGTTTTGGTCATTTCTCCGCACGAGTGACACTTCAACTTTCGGAATTCACAGACTTCACTTTCATGATGAATAAGATCACGCTTGTTGACAATTAAACCACAGCCTTGGTTTGTACAAACGGCTGGTGTATATCCACATGTATCTTCATGGCGGTCAAGATGCTGTAATTCTACAACTTCTTGACAACCTCTGTCGATGTAAATGCAACGAATTTTTAACTCATTTATAAGATCTTTTACCATTCTATTTGGTTCGGTCAAAGTCTCTACGGTCAGTTCATCAGCACACGTTGGACATGTTTGGGAATTTTCCAGATGTTTCGTAATACAACAACGGCAAAAACAATGTTGGTTTTTCGGACACAGGACAGGCTCTTTCAAGATATTGAAGCAAATCTGACAGAGGAAATTTTTACTGACTTTGGCCTCGAAGCGTTCTTCATCGTAGCCTTGTATATATGAAGCCATATTTCACGTCGTTCTTGTGTCGTAATAATAAAGCAAGTTCTGTGTTGTTTGTCGCTCTGTAGTATAAGCCTCGCTGTATAGACTGAATATAGATACAGTGTTCGTTCTTGGAGAAGTCTGTGTTTGTATTTTCTCGAAATCTTCTCCAAAATGATCAGTTTATGAAGACAAATATCGCTTGCTTAGGTATTTGCATAAGACGCGTCCTTTCCTGTCAGGACTCAGGAATTTCTGGAATTTGCTGCGGTGTTTCCAAAAATTAATTTGGAAATTTTACGAGCTGACGGAGAGAGCTGGAGCCGAATGAAACGTTTTTCTGATATTTTCAGTAGATTTTAGAGAAATGTTATTTTGCAGTAATTAAAGTCGACTCTAAAAGCTTTAACTTGTTCTATTAAAATGCGAATCTACACTTTCAAAAGTGCTGACGATGCTGCGATAGTTTTTAATATAAAACTCCATCTTCACTAAATCCTAAATACACGAATTTAATCTTTGGGATTATTTTAGGAATTAGGTTAAGATTATATTTTAGGTTTGTAGTTTAATACGGTTAAACTTAATTCTTAATTAAACCCTAATCCTAACCTAATCTCAAGGATTAAATGGAATTATATATATTGCCAACATAGAAAACGCTAAACATTCCAGTGTATCCAGAGATCAGTAAACTGTCAGGGAGCGAAATTTCAAGGCAAAAGGAAGTTTGTTTTGGCATTTAATGAGTTAAAAAAAGTATCCGTCAGACTTATTTATTATTTGAGATTATATTACGATTTGGGTTAAGATTAGGTTTTAGGTTTATTGTAAAATAGGGTTAAACATAATCCTAAATTTAACCATAATCCTAACCTAATCTCAAGGATTAAATGGAATTATATTGCCAAGATAGAAAACGCTAAACATTCCAGTGTATCGAGAGTTCAGAAAACTGGCAGGGAGTGAAATTTCAAGGCAAAGAGGAAGTTTGTTTTGGCAGTTAATGAGTTAAAAAAACTATCCGTCAGACTTATTTATTATTTGAGATTATGTTACGATTTGGGTTAAGATTAGGTTTTAGGTTTATTCTTAAATAGGGTTAAACCTAATCCTAAATTTAACCTGAATCTTAACCTAATCTCTGGAATTATATTGATTGCCAAGATAGAAAACGCTGAACATTCCAGTGTTCCAAGAGATCAGAAAACTGCCAGGGAGTGAAGTTTCAAGGAAAAAAGAGGAAGTTTGTTTTGGTAAGTGGAAGCAATCGTCGTTTTAAACTTTCAACTTTCAAACATTTCTTTTCCAAACTTTCGTTTTGAAGCAAAATATTTTGAATTATTTTCTCTCAATTGCAAGGAAATACACGAGCTTTTCTAGCGAAATATGTCGCACGACGTGACCGTAAACTTCAACGGCAAATCATTTAACCTTCGTTTTCAACCATCCTGGACAATCGCTCGACTAAAACACGAAATTGCTCGCAAGAAAAATGTCAAAACTGCTGGAATTAAAATCATTTTTGCCGGTCGAGAATCACCCGATGAATTAACACTCGGGGTGAGTGATTTTTAGGAAAATATCAAGCTTTTAATGTGATTTATATAACAATTTTCAAAGAAATAACGAAAGCTTTACTGTGAAATGTTGAAATGATTTCATAAATGAGGTTTTTTTTAGTTCGGGATTTTGATGTTTAAAGCGACCATCTTCGTTATAGTAAATCTGAGATAGATTATGATACAGCTTGTCTTGCTTGAGTCACTCCATCTCAGAATATCACAGTGTCTGAATCTTGATAAAATGATATTTTAAAACATTTTTCAAAGCCATCTTTCTCCACTAAAACCTGACCCAAACTTATGTGAATTCTCACTCATGGACAATTTCCAGGATTTTTCAGATGATTCTCAAAATTCTCAGTCTTTAAATTGCCATCAGTCGACAATGAGTCTGACATTCAGAGATCTGAAACTTTTTTTCTAGAATGCAGAGATGAACCACAGCGTCATTCATGCTGTTCAGAAATCTGGTCAGATCTCAGTTGACGCAACTTACAATGCGAATGATAGTTTGACGAAAGTGAAACTGACACAGGATGACGAAGATGAAGATGGTGAATCTCAACAATCAGGTGGTGACGAGATCTTTCATAAACCTCTCAATGATGTGACCACTCTCTTTTTAGTGTCCTTCCTGGTTTAATAAACATCCTTAATAAATACCTCCAATCCATCCCCACTGTTGTAACCATTTCTTTATACCTTTCCATAGTATATCCCTCACAAATACACCTCAATCTTCTTTAAAAATCTTCTTCTCCAATTGTCTGACTCTAAACCTTTCTGTACCTCCCTCCCACCCTCTCTCCAACTAACTCTCCATATATAACAATTCCTTCCACATACCCCTGCCTTGTAGGATTCCTCTCTTACCCAATCACCCTCTCTCTCTAATTAACCCCCTAACAACTCCCTCTTCATGCCCCTTCCAATTAATGTGCCCTTACACCTATTCTCTAATACCCTTCTCCAATTAACACTCCAAAATAACCCCCTCTTTATACCTCTCCCTATAATTATACCCCTCTTTAATTTACTTCTCTAATACTCCAGTCTCTAAATAATACTCTAAAATAACCCCCTCTTTATACCCCTACCTAGTAGAATGTCGCTTATGACTGTAATACGTACACCTCTTCTCTACCTAATATCCCCTCTCTAAATAACTCTCTAAAATAACCCCTGCCCCATACTCCCTCCCTAATATAACCTTCCCTTTATACCTCTTCTCTAATAGACCCTCTATCAATTTAACCTTCTGTACTCCCCCCTTTAATTTCCATACACCCCTCCCTACATGACTTTTAATATATCTAACGCTCCTAATCTTATATTATACTCCATCAATACAAAACCCTGCTTTTTCTAACACCAGGGTTCGTTTAATAATCCATATTTTTCATACTCTCTCATCTCAGGCAAGCAAAGTTTCTTCTTTGTTTATTGTAAAACTTGCAAGAAACTAACACAAGGAAAATTGCGATGTCGATGTTCAAATTGCAAGGAAGGAAGCTTTGTTCTATCACAGGTATTTACTGTTTCCTTATAAACAACTTGTAAAAAATCTGCAGCAGATTTATATTTAAACTTTAGAAAATGTTGACATTGTTACAACTTGTTTACAAGCTTGCTGTTAAAGCTTTTGAATGTCAACAAACATCTTGTTTACACAATATTTATGGTTTCTTGCAAGGGTCCAAATGGTTGGGACGATGTATTGATCAAAGGCCGAATGCAGGGACAATGTGAATCCAATACAAACTGTCAGGGAAAAACAGCTGTAAGTTATCCACCTATTAGACCTAAAATACAATAGTGGGTCACATCTAGGTGCATTGCAAGCTAATGGGTTAACAAGAGACACTGACAGATAGTTTTGTTAACTTATTAACTGACAGTACTCTTCCACTGATGAGTAAAATTATCTGACATTATACAGGGTAAAATACTAAAGTAGGTCGATCACAAACTTCTTGTTCTTTCATAGGAATTTTATTTCAAATGTGGGAAACGTCATGGTAGATATGAACAAGCGCCGTTATCAATGTTGAAATCTAACATCAGAAATATCCCCTGCATCACATGCGCTGAAACATCGTAAGTTTACCCTTTCATTTTATGTCTCCTCTCAGAAATATTTATGCTTCTAGGAAAGTTGAATTTTTTAATCCAAACCGCAGTTAATAGAAACTAATAACTTTGATCCAACATGGTCAATATTTAATCAAATTTTTTTCACTCATGCACCTACCTATTGTTTGAACTGTTTTCTTTGGTGTTTCATTTTAAACCTTCCTGAATGGAAATATCTGTTTCATACATTTGTCATTGTTCTTTAATATATATAATTCCAAGAACTGACTCAATTTAAATTCAATCACAAAAATACAAATCAGTATATGTCTGACAATCAACTTAGAATGCTACAATCTATTTCTATAACTTTGTAAAAATCTTATAGTTCATTTCAATTGTTCATAATATGTTAGGAGTTTTCACTTAATACCTTACATATTGTTCACACAACAACAGCAGTGGGCCACAATCTTGCTTTAGACATTTCTGGAAGTTCTTCCCAAGAATACCTTTCAAAGTTGAAACCTTCAACTGAATTCAGGTCTCCTTGCTCACCACACCCTCCCAGGACTACAATGTTGTTTTCAATAACAACTGCAGTACATCCATACCTCTTACAACTCATTGATGGCAGCATGTGACTTTGTTCTGTCTTGACATTGTAAATGATAACTGTATCTAATGGCTTGCCATGTTTGTCTTTCCCACCAATAACAACAATGTTGTCTCCCCATCTCACAGTTGCCATGAGACTCACTTCATACGGCAGTGGTGACAACTGTTTCAGCTCATTCTTCTTTATGTCGTACCGTACAACACTGCTGAGGTTCTCTTTGGGATAACCAGTTCGACTTCCACCAACTATCAACAAATTATCATCAAATATTTCCATGCTGTGATATTGTCCTGGTTCTGGCATTCTTGATAAGGTCTTCACAGTATAGGGAGGAACAACCTGGACTGCTCTGATCAAGTCAGATAAACCATTTCCATCATAACCTCCAGAGACCATCAACTGATCATTATACAGCACACTGCTGTGGTATGACAACTTTTCAGGTAGTTTAGCAGGACAGTCACTCCAGTGTGTTGAGAGATCAGGGTTTGGGTCAATATTCATTGTAATCATATCATCAACAATGCCAGGCCAACCACCACAGTCACCCCCAGCTATAGTCATATGATTGTTATAAATGAATGAAGTCGTTGCCCAACGTTTCTTTGGCATTGATTGTAATGGCGACCATGTTCTTTCACGCCAGTTAAACATCTCTACAGAGTTAGTTCCAAGACCTCCAGCAACAATTATATTTTCCTTATCACCACTTGGTCTATTTATTCCTTTTCTTGTGTTTTCTTCTTTCTTGCCCTCCATCGTGATAAAAACGTCCTTCATTTCATCAAAAGCTCTGACCAAAGCTGTTTGCAATCCTTTCACTTCGTTGTTAACGGCTTCAAATTTTTCCTCCATATTTGCAGTATTTTTGTCTATTTTTCTGTCAAAATTTGTCATTTTAGTTTCAATTTTTACATTATTCTTCTCGATATTCGCCATTCTTTCCTCCATATCTGCCAAAGTTTTCATCATTTCTCCGCACGAGTGACACTTCAACTTTCGGAATTCACAGACTTCACTTTCATGGTGAATAAGATCACGCTTGTTGACAATTGAACCACAGCCTTGGTTTGTACAAACGGCTGGTGTATATCCACATGTATCTTCATGGCGGTCAAGATGCTGTAATTCTACAACTTCTTGACAACCTCTGTCGATGTAAACGCAACGAATTTTTAACTCATTTATAAGATCTTTTACCATTCTATTTGGTTCGGTCAAAGTCTCTACGGTCAGTTCATCAGCACACGTTGGACATGTTTGAGAATTTTCCAGATGTTTCGTAATACAACAACGGCAAAAAGAATGCTGGTTTCTCGAACACATAACCGGCTCTTTCAAGACGTTGAAGCAAATTTGACAATGAAAATTTTGATTGATTTTGTCCACAAACCTTTCTTCATCGTAGCCTTGTATATATGAAGCCATATTTCACGTCGTTCTTGTGTCGTAATAATAAAGCAAGTTCTGTGTTGTTTGTCGCTCTGTAGTATAAACCTCGCTGTATAGACTGAATATAGATACAGTGTTCGTTCTTGAAGAAGTCTGTGTTTGTATTTTCTCGAAATCTTCTCCAAAATGATTAGTTTATGAAGACAAATATCTCTTCCTTATAAAGTGTTTGCATAAAATGCATCATTTGCTGTCAGGAATTCTTGGAATTTGCTGCGGTGTTTGCACAAATAAATTGAAAAATATCGCGAGCTGTGAGAAAGAGAACTGGGACTGGAGTATAACGCACTGAGCTATGTATGCGAAGTGAATGGGTCAAACTGCATGGTCCAGTATTATGAACCTAGATTTTTCCTAATCGTGTCAGATGATTTTACTCATCAGTGGAAGAGTACTGTCAGTTAATAAGTTAACAAAACTATCTGTCAGTGTCTCTTGTTAACCCATTAGCTTGCAATGCACCCAGATGTGACCTACTTTAGTATTTTACTCTGTCTAAGTCAAGTCAGAATATTTTCGCGGTGCAATAATATTCCAATCTAAATGAGTTTTCATCAACACACAAATGGTTCAGGATATCTTGTGGATTGATCTACAGCTGTGGTGAATAAGAAAAACGCATCTTCAAAGTGTTTATAAAATTCACTTTCGTTTTGATCGCAAAAGATCGTATAGCGTATCAAAATATTCATAAATATTAAGTGTTGCGTTTTTTAAACATCCTGTATAAGTGCGGTCATTATATCGATGAAAAGCCATTTCAAGCTAGAAGATTAAATTTTAGCAGATCAAAGATGTTTGAAGTTGTTAAGATCGTTGTTATATTCCTAGTCTTTGCAGGTACTGGAATACATATTGTGATATATATCTTTGTTCATAGAATTCTCAAGTATCACTTCGTTATTCTTCATCGTATTTTTCTGGATTTATTTTTCTAGATAATGCGGTTGAATGTTTTAAACTTGGTCAGCTTTGCAGCTCAAATGGTAGAAATTTAATCCGTGAATGTGACAGTCAGGGTTGTGGTGATTTCGGAACACCAAGGTAAGACCAGATGTAACCTTGTAACAACACAGCGAATCGATAATATTCTTATCTTACAAAACAATTAAATTAACGTGAATTTATCATTATACAGAGTCTCTGGTACACACAATGGTGTCGACATAATTTGCAAACCAGGGAATTCTGTCTTGACACCATTTGCTGCGAAGATCTGACGAAAATCACGTTCTTATTCAAACAACAACAAACCATATAACAATGGATTGTATATTCAAGGAAGCGGAGAAGCCGAAGGTATTATCTCTCTCACATTAATAACCAAATTCATATTAGGCACGAGAAATTCATCTTAGACAGGAAAGTTTATTGTAAAAACTCGTCTTAATATGACTTGGGATGGATATAAAATTTACACGTGTGATGGCTCGGGTAATGCTAAAAAGGGTATCGTGATTATTACGATAATAATTTTGTTTATTTTCTCAGTTAAGCGCGCCTCACACGAGAGCTGGTAGCTGAGGTAAAGACTTTGCGAGGCTGTTAGCTCAGCAAGTTACTCTCGTGTGCGGATAGTTTTTCGTGAGAAATTCGCCTCGAGAGGCAAGTTTCTATCGTGTGCGGATAGTTTTCAGGCTGAGTTAACTGCCTCGCGAGGTCGTTAGCTCAGCTGATAGCTCTCTTGTGCGGCGGGCTTTACCCTTGTTCCGTCCTTGACCGTGTCGATATTTCAGAAACTCGTCTGATTTATCCGTTTAAATGCGAATTTAAGACGAGTTTCTCGTCCAGAAGGGATTCCAGTTCAAATTAACCGTTTGTTTAGACGGGAAAGTTAGGCGGGAAAATTCTGACGAGAAACCCGTCTGTGGCCTGATTCACATCAGACGAGTTTCCCGTCTAAGATGAGTTTCCACGAGGAGTTTCCCCTGTAAGACGAGTTTCCTGTTTTCCTTGACCTTGTAAGACGAGTTTCCCGCCTCTAATATGAATTCGACTAAAGTAAATTTTAAACTATAATGCATTTCTCGAAACAAAATGAGTAATGAGTTTGGTCATTGACTCCTGTCACCCCCCGGGTTAGGTCTAAATGGTAATTTCATGTCGTGCTTTCAAGTAAAGTTAAAAATACAATAAAAATAAAAGAAAATGTAGGCACAGAATACTTAGCAGAAGAACAACTCTACATTTTTTTGCATAAGTGGTTCATTCACTCAGCAAGCACTGTAAATGAAGGCAAACACCCCCCCCCTGCCAACTACGATATTTTTAATGTGGACAGGGGGGTGAATCCTTCCATTTGCGGTACTTGCTGAGTGATAAAATTTGGAATAAGTCACCCCCCTGCCAACAGCTCCATTTTTAATTCTTGCAGGGGGGTGATTCATAGAGGTCCAGTAAAGAGGGAGAGTGTTAAAATTGAATAATCAATTTCTTTTTCAGATATAAAATGGATATTTCAGGTGGTCTTGGAAGATCTGCTGCAAAGGTATCCATATTCACTATTTTCTTCTCCATATTCGCAGATATTGCCTCCATAATCGTAAATTTTTTTCCCTGTGAAAAACCTTACTTTTTGTGGTGAAATTTTTCAGATATGGCGTGTTGGTCTGATGGGGTTGAACAGTACAAAAGATAATGTAAATCTTGTACTAAAAGCCTTCAAGGACTGAAGGACGCGATGGAAAACGTGAAATTACAAAAAAATCTGTGAGCAAACTTAGTTAATCAAGGTTTTCTTTTAATAAAGAGTAAAACTATCTCTCCAAATCTTGTTAATTGTTAAATTTTAAAATATGACTTGGTCTCTGGCAGTCTGACAGACACAAACATCATTTACAGACAGGCTGATATTTAAAATAGGTAACTGAGCTATTTCTTGAGCCAGCATAGGAAGCCCAGACAAATCTATGACGTAACTTACTATATTATTGGGAAAGAAGGAAACTCTTGCCTCATTTTTCAACATATTCGCAAATTAAAACACAAATTACTATAGTAAAACGGCACGTCGGCTGCTAAATGCCTACCGTAGGTTTAAGTTGAATAATCAAACTATAGTTTCATAATAAAAATAATGCTGAGTTCAAAGGAAAGCCCTGGAAAAACGTACACAAACTTTGTAAATTTGACGAAATTTTCGTGAATATATGCGGGATGTAAGTACGTACCCAAATCGGCGACGGCACAAGAATCTGATTGGTCGAGAAACGTAAACAAAGTATGATCAACTAATCTGATTGGTCGTGAAAGGTAAACAAAGTATGAACGACCAATCAGATTCTTCTGCCAGCCACCATTTTGGGTACGTACTTACATCCCGCATGTATTCACGAAAATTTCGTCAAATTTACAAAGTTTGTGTACGTTTTTCTAGCGCTTTCCTTTGAATTCAGCATTATTTTTATTATGAAAGTATAGTTTGATTATTCAACTTAAACCTACGGTAGGCATTTAGCAGTCGACGTGCCGTTTTACTATAGTAATTTGTGTTTTAATTTGTCAACATGTTGAAAAATGAGGCAAGAGTTTTCTTCCTTTCCAATAATATAGTAAGTTACGTCACTAGTTGTATAGTAAATGGCCGACTCATTTGTCTGGGCTTCCTATGGAGCCAGAGGCTCAGTTAGGATTCTTGGTCTAGGGGCTGGGGCAGAAGAACCCAGGTGGGGAGGGGTCAGGTTGTGGCTGAAAAAACCTAGGTGGGAGGGGTGGGGTTGTGGCTAAAAAAACCAGGGTGGTAGGAGGGGTGTGAAAAAACCTGTGGCAGGGAGGGGGTAAAAAACCTAGGAGGGAGGGGGGTGGTGCTGAAAAACCTATGTGGAGGGGGTGCAGAAAACATTATTTCAAATGTTTTATTTGGTGTTTCATTTTAAACCTTCCCCAATGAAAATATCTATTTCATAGATTTGTCATTGTTCTTTAATATATAATTCTAAGAACTGACACAATTTAAATTCATTTACAAAAATACAAATCAGTATATGTCCGACAATCAACTTAGAATGCTACAATCTATTTCTATAACTTTATGAAAATCTTATAGTTCATTTCAATTGTTCATAATATGTTACGAGTTTTCACTTAATACCTTACATATTGTTCACACAACAACAGCAGTGGGCCACAATCTTGCTTTAGACATTTCTGGAAGTTCTTCCCAAGAATACCTTTCAAAGTTGAAACCTTCAACTGACTTCAGGTTTCCTTCCTCACCAGAACCTCCCAGGACTACAATGTTGTTTTCAATAACAACTGCAGTACATTCCACCCTCTCACATCTCATTGATGGCAGCATGTGACTTTGTTCTGTCTTGACATTGTAAATGACAACTGTATTTAATGTCTTGCCATGTTTGTCTTGGCCACCAATAACAACAATGTTGTCTCCCCATCTCACAGTTGCCATCTCACTCACTTCATACGGCAGTGGTGACAACTGTTTCAGCTCATTCTTCTTTATATCGTACAGTACGACACTGCTAAGGTTGTCTTGGCATCCGACAGTTGGAGTCCCACCAACTATCAACAAATTATCGTCAAATATTTCCATGCTGTGACATTGTCTTGGTTCTGGCATTCTTGATAAGGTCTTCACAGTATAGGGAGGAACAAGCTGGACTGATCTGATCAAGTCAGGTGAAACATTTCCATTATAACCTCCAGAGACTATCAACTGATCATTATACAGCACACTGCTGTGGTATCTCAACTTATCAGGTAGTTTAACAGGACAGTCACTCCAGTGTGTTGAGAGATCAGGGTTTGGGTCAATATTCATTCTAATCATATCATCAACAACGGAATACCGAGCACAGCGACCCCCAGCTATAGTCATATGATTGTTATAAATAAATGAAGTCGCTCCCCAACGTTTCTTTGGCATTGATTGTAATGGCGACCATGTTCTTTGACGCCAGTTAAACATCTCTACAGAGTCATTCAATAAACCTCCAGCAACAATTATATTTTCCTTATCACCACTTGGTCTATTTCTTACTTTTCTTGTGTTTTCTTCTTTCTTGCCCTCCATCGTGATAAGAACGTCCTTCATTTCATCAAAAGCTCTGACCAAAGCTGTTTTCAATCCATCGACTTTGTTGTTAACCGCTTCGAGTTTTCCTTCCATATCTGCTTTTATATCTGCTTTTAAATCTGCGTGTTTTTCTCCATATTCCGTGCAACATTTGCTCTAAATTTGTTATTTTAGTTGCAATTGTTACTCATATTCGCATTTTTCCTCCATATCTGCCAAAGTTTTCGTTATTTCTCCGCACGAGTGACACTTCAACTTTCGGAATTCACAGACTTCACTTTCATGGTGAATAAGATCACGCTTGTTGACAATTAAACCACAGCCTTGGTTTGTACAAACGGCTGGTGTATATCCACATGTATCTTCATGGCGGTCAAGATGCTGTAATTCTACAACTTCTTGACAACCTCTGTCGATGTAAACGCAACGAATTTTCGATTCATTCAAAAAATCTTTAACCATTCTATTGGTTCGGCCAAAGTCTCTACGGTCAGTTCAGCACACGTTGGACATGTTTGAGAATTTTCCAGATGTTTCGTAATACAACAACGGCAAAAAGAATGCTGGTTTCTCGAACACATAACCGGCTCTTTCAAGACGTTGAAGCAAATCTGCAATGAAAATTTGATTGATTTGTCACAAACCTTTCTTCATCGTAGCCTTGTATATATGAAGCCATATTTCACGTCGTTCTTGTGTCGTAATAATAAAGCAAGTTCTGTGTTGTTTGTCGCTCTGTAGTATAAACCTCGCTGTATAGACTGAATATAGATACAGTGTTCGTTCTTGGATAAGTCTGTCTTTGTATTTTCTCGAAATCTTCTCCAAAATGATCAGTTTTTAAAGACAAATATCTCTTCCTTGTAAAGTGTTTGCATAAAATGCATCATTTGCTGTCAGGAATTCCTGGAATTTGCTGCGGTGTTTCCACAATAACACAAATATATTTAAAAATATCGAGAGCTGAGAGATAGAACTGGGACTGGAGTATAACGCACTGAGCTATGTATGCTAAGTGAATGGGTCAAACTGCATGGTCCAGCATTATGAACCTAGATTTTTCCTAATCGTGTCAGATGATTTTACTCATCAGTGGAAGAGTATTGTCAGTTAATAAGTTAACAAAACTATCTGTCAGTGTCTCTTGTTAACCCATTAGCTTGCAATGCACCCAGATGTGACCTACTTTAGTATTTTACTCTGTCTAATGTCAGATGATTTTACTCATCAGTGGAAGAGTACTGTCAGTTAATAAGTTAACAAAACTATCTGTCAGTGTCTCTTGTTAACCCATTAGCTTGCAATGCACCCAGATGTGACCTACTTTAGTATTTTACTCTGTCTAAGTCAAGTTGAATATTTTCGCGGTGCAATAATATTCCAATCTAAATGAGTTTTCATCAACACACAAATGGTTCAGGATATCTTGTGGATTGATCTACAGCTGTGGTGAATGAGAAAAACGCAACTTCAAAGTGTTTATGAAATTCACTTTCGTTTTGATCACAAAAGAACGTATAGCGTATCAAAATATTCATAAATATTAAGTGTTGTGTTTTTTTAAACATCCTGTATAAGTGCGGTCATTATATCGATGAAAAGCCATTTCAAGCTAGAAGATTAAATTTTAGCAGATCAAAGATGTTTGGAGTTGTTAAGATCGTTGTTATATTTCTAGTCTTTGCAGGTACTGGAATACATATTGTGATATATATCTTTGTTCATAGAATTCTCAAGTATCACTTCGTTATTCTTCATCGTATTTTTCTGGATTTATTTTTCTAGATAATGCGGTTGAATGTTTTAAACTTGGTGAGCTTTGCAGCTCAAATGGTAGAAATTCAATCCGTGAATGTGACAGTCAGGGTTGTGATGATTTCGGAACACCAAGGTAAGACCAGATGTAACCTTGTAACAACACAGCGAATCGATAATATTCTTATAACCTTACAAAACAATTAAATTAACGTGAATTTATCATTATACAGAGGTTCTCGTACACACAATGGTGTCGACATAATTTGAAAACCAGGGAGTTCTGTCATGACAACATTTGCTGCGAAGATCTGACGAAAATCACGTTCTTATTCAAACAACAACAAACCATATAACAATGGATTGTATATTCAAGGAAGCGGAGAAGCCGAAGGTATCATCTCTCTCACATTAACAACCCAATTCATATTAGGCACGGGAAATTCATCTTAGACAGGAAAGTTGATTGTAAAAACCCGTCTTAATTTGACTTGGAATGGATATAAAATTTACACGTGTGATGGGTCGGGTAATGCTAAAAAGGGTATCGTGATTATTACGATAATAATTTTGTTTATTTTCTCAGTTAAGCCCGCCTCACACGTGAGCTGGTAGCTGAGGTAAAGACCTCGCGAGGCTGTTAGCTCAGCAAGTTACTCTCGTGTGCGGATAGTTTTTCGTGAGGAATTCGCCTCGAGAGGCAAGTTTCTATCGTGTGCGGATAGTTTTCAGGCTGAGTTAACTGCCTCGCGAGGTCGTTAGCTCAGCTGATAGCTCTCTTGTGCGGCGGGCTTTACCCTTGTTCCGTCCTTGACCGTGTTGATATTTCAGAAAGTCGTCTGATTTATCCGTCTCAATGCGAATTTAAGACGAGTTTCTCGTCCAGAAGGGATTCCCGTTCAAATTAACCATTTGTTTAGACGGGAAAGTCAGGCGGGAAAATTCTGACCAGAAACCCGTCTGTGGCCTGATTCACATCAGACGAGTTTCCCGTCTAAGATGAGTTTCCAAGAGGAGTTTCCCCTTATGACGAGTTTCCTGTTTTCCTTGACCTTGTAAGACGAGTTTCCCGCCTCTAATATGAATTCGGCTAAACTAAATTTTAAACTATAATGCATTTCTCGAAACAAAATGAGTAATGAATTTGGTCATTGACTCCCGTCACCCCCCGGGTTAAGTCTAAATGGTAGTTTCATGTCGTGCTTTCAAGTAAAGATGCAAATACAATAAAAATAAAAGAAAGTGTAGGCACAGAATACCTATCAGAAGAACAACTCCATTGTTTTTTGCATAAGTGGTTCCGTCACTCAGCAAGTACTGTAAATGGAGGTAATCACCCCCCTGCCAACTGCGCCATTTTTAATATAGGCAGGGGGGTGAATGCATCCATTTACGATAATTGCTGAGTGATGAATCTTGGGAAGGACTACCCCCCTGCCAAAAAGCCCATTTTTAATACTTGCAGGGGGTGAATCATAGAGGTCAACTAAAGAGGGAGCGTGTTAAATTGAATAATCAATTTCTTTTTCAGATATAAAATGGATATTTTAGGTGGTCTTGGAAGATTTGCTGGAAAGGTATCCATATTCATAATTTTCTTCTCCATATTCGCAGATATTCCCTCCATAATCGTAAACTTTTTTCCCTGTGAAAAACCATACTTTTTGTGGTGAAATTTTTCAGATATGGCGTGTTGGTCTGATGGGGTTGAACAGTACAAAAAATAATGTAAATCTTGTACTAAAAGCCTTCAAGGACGCGATGGAAAACGTGAAATTACAAAACAATCTGTGAGCAAACTTGAAACAAGAATTTTATTTTAGTTGACAAACCAATTTATATTAGTTATTCAGGGTTTTGTTTTAATAAAGAGTAAAACTATCTCTCCAAATCTTGTTAATTGTTAAATTTTAAAATATGACTTGGTCTGTGGCAGTCTGACAGACACAAACATCATTTACAGACAGGCTGATATTTCAAATAGGTAACTGAGCTATTTCTTGAAGCAGAGGCTCAGTTAGGATTCTTGGTTTGGGAGACCAGGCAGAAAGAACCCAGGTAGGGGGGGCGTTGTGGCTAAAAAACTAGGTGGGAGGGTGGGGGGTGAAAAAACCTAGAGGTGAGTGCAGAAAAGCTTATTTCAAATTTTTTATTTCATGTTTCATTTTAAACCTTCCTCAATGAAAATATCTTTTTCATAGATTTATTATTGTTCTAAGAACTGACTCAATTTAAATTAATCACAAAAATACAAATCAGTATATGTCTGACAATCAACTTAGAATGCTACAATCTTTTTCTATAACTTTGGGAAAATCTTATAGTTCATTTTAATTTTTGTTCATAATATGTTAAGAGTTTCCACTTAATACCTTACATATTGTTCACACAACAACAGCAGTGTGCCACCATCTTGCTTTAGACATTTCTGGAAGTTCTTCCCAAGAATACCTTTCAAAATTGAAAGCTTCAACTGAGTTCAGCTCTCCTCGCTCACCCAACCCTCCCAAGACTACAATGTTGTTTTCAATAACAACTGCAGTACATCCCCACCTCTTACATCTCATTGATGGCAGCATGTGACTTTGTTCTGTCTGGACATTGTAAATGATTATTACTTTGTCAACTGGCTGCCATCCTTTGTCAATGCCACCAATAACAACAATGTTGTCTCCCCATCTTACAGTTGCCATGCGACTCACTTCATACGGCAGTGGTGACAACTGTTTCAGCTCATTCTTCTTTATATCGTACAGTATGAGACTACTAAGGTTATGATTGGGACTGCCAATTGTACTTCCGCCAACTATGAACAATTTATCATCAAATATTTCCATGCTGTGATGTTGTCTTGCTTCTGGCATTCTTGATAAGGTCTTCACAGTATAGAGAGGAACAAGCTGGAATGCTCTGACGAAGTCAGATGAAACATTTCCCTTTTCGCCTCCAGAGAATATCAAATGATCATTATACAGCACACTGCTGTGGCATCTCAACTTATCAGGTAGTTTAACAGGACAGTCACTCCAGTGTGTTGAGAGATCAGGGTTTGGGTCAATATCCATTCTAATCATATCATCAACAATGCCAGATTCAGCACAGTCACCCCCAGCTATAGTCATATGATTGTTATAAATAAATGAAGTCGCTCCCCAACGAACCTTTGGCATTGATCGTAATGGCGACCATGTTCTTTGACGCCAGTTAAATATCTCTACAGAGTTAGTTCCATAACCTCCAGCGACAATAATATTTTCCCTATCACCACTTGGTCTATTTCTTACTTTTCTTGTGTTTTCTATTTTCTTGCTCTCCATCGTGATAAGAACGTCCTTCATTTCATCAAAAGCTCTGACCAAAGCTGTTTTCAATCCTTTGACTTCGTTGTTAACCTCTTCGTGTTTTCCTTCCATATCTGCTTTTATATGGGAGATCATGGGAGGTCGGATCAATATGGCGGTCGGAACATGGCTATTGACAAAAGCTTTATTTTATTCAATTTTACTGATTCTGGTTGACACGAAAGCATATAACAATCAACCTATGCAATCGAACAACCTAAGGGGCAAATTTCGAGTTGCTAGCGAATTGTCTCGTCCAGTATTCAACGACATTTGCCATCCTAAACGTCGACGAACATCTCTACTCACGTACTCCACAGCAAATTATAAAGCGATCAAAGCTATTCGTCTTACGAGGGATGTGCTGCTTATAACGTTACTACAACTCTGTGGAGATGTTGCTTTAAATCCTGGCCCTGCACAACTTAATTTACAGTCGCCAATATCAAAAGGATTAAAGATTTGCCACTGGAATATACAACGGCTTACATCATCTAAGCATGACGAAGTTAAAATCAGCCTTGCGAAGAACTCACACAACTCCAATAAGATAGATATCCTGTTTTTATCCGAAACGTTTTGCACAGACAAAACTCCAGATTATCTATATACTATCCCGGACTACCATTTGTTCCGAAAGGACAGAACAGGCAAACTCGGAGGAGGGGTTATGGCGTTTGTACATAAAGATCTGATTGTTAAACGGCGAAACGATATGGAGGACGATAATGTAGAGGCATTGTGGCTAGAAGTTAACCCGCATAAATCTAAAAGATCTTTGTTTGTTGCTGGGGTATATCGTCCGCCTTCATCGAATTTAGATATGGATAAGCAACTTGGTAGAAATATCGAGAACGCGAAATTGCGCAACAAAGAGCTTATAATCATGGGTGACCTTAACGTTGATTTCATGACATCGGGAAAGTTTTGTAAACAAAAACTAATGAAGAACCTATTGAATCTCAATCTGTCTCAGATGGTAAATCAAATCACAAGACCTTTGTCGCAATCTTGTCTTGATCATATATGGTGCAGCCATCCTGAACGAATCAGACAGATCGAAGTGTTGTCATCAGGTATGTCTGATCATTTGCCTATTGTTGCTGTACGTGTATACAAACCTCTGAAAGACAATAAAGGTGAGCATCATAACATTACGTACAGGGACTTAAAGAAATTGAATCAACAAGCATTTTGTGAGTCTTTGTTGTCTGCCCCGTGGGATTGTGCATTTATCTTTGAAGATTCTGATGACATTGTCATTGCATGGTATAACATTTTTAACGATATTGTTGATCAACATGCGCCCTTAAAACAAAAGCGAGTTAAAAGAAAGTCTCAGCCTGATTGGTTTAATAAAATTATTGAAGATGAGATAAAGAAAAGAGACCAGCTACTCCATAAGGCTAGACAAACACAATCCGATTCTGACTGGTCAAATTTTAAAAGGGCGAAAAATAAAGTCACTAATTTACTCCGGAAAACTAAACAAATGTTCTTCAAGAATAAAGTTGCGGAAAATAGAAACGATCCTAAAAAACTATGGCGCTTAATACGAGAGCTCGACGGTGACAATGCCCGCAAAGATAAATTCAAATGGCATTTGATTGACGGTGACAAGTCGATAACAGACAAACACCAAATTGCCGAAATGTTCAATTCATATTTTATCGAACAGCCGAAATCACTTTTAACAGAATTGATTAATACCACTGGAAATTATATTTTCCCAGAGCAACAAGTTCATTCTCAGTTCGAAATTCCGCATATAACATCTGAGCAAATCAATGATTTTATAGACCAAATTCCTGTAGATAAAGCAACTGGTCCTGATGGTCTGGGAATACGGCTTCTCAAGATAGCTTCTCCCGTGATATCGGAATCGCTTAGTAGAATAATAAATCACTGCATAGCAACAGGCAAATTTCCAACAAAATGGAAGGAGGCGAGTGTCACACCTATCTATAAAGGCAAAGGCTGTAAAAGTGAGGTCTCAAACTTCAGACCTATATCAGTGTTACCAGTCCTATCTAAGTTGTTTGAAAGGCACATTGCTATATCATTACGTGCACATTTGAAGGAGAATGTCTTGCTATATGGATTACAGTCTGGCTTTCGGAAGTCATTTTCCACTGAAACCGCTCTAATAAGACTTCTAGATCAGTTGCTCTTTAATCTCGATGCAAACCGCGTCAGCGGCCTAGTCTTCGTTGATTATAAAAAAGCATTTGATCTTATAGACCGTAACATTTTGATAAAAAAGCTCTATTCATTTGGTATTCATGACAAACCTTTGGAATTGTTTGAAAGTTATCTTTCTGACCGATCTCAGTATGTCAATGTGGAAGGTGCAAAGTCATCGACCAGACTTATAGAATGCGGTGTGCCCCAGGGATCAATCCTTGGGCCCCTTTTATTCATTATATTCATCAACGATCTTCCTGGTCAGATTGAACATTCTGTTGCAGATATTTACGCTGATGATACGACACTCAGCTATGCACATGATTATTCAACTGCTCCTCAGTCAATTACGGTGGAACTGCAGAAGGACATTTTAAGTCTTGCAAACTGGTCAAAGATTAATCATCTGGTTATGAATGAAGAGAAGACAAAAACTATGCTAGTCGCAGGAAGACGCCTGAAGAAGAAACTTGATACATTAGATATTGATCTTAGTTTGAATGGGGAAAAACTTGAGCAGGTTTCCTCCTTTAAACTGCTTGGAGTTACCTTCGATGATGAACTGAGTTTTGATGTTCACGTCGACAATCTATGCAAGAAATTATCACAAAGAATTGCGGTACTCAGTAAAATAAAGCGCTGTCTTCCATATAGAGAGCGCATTCTTTATTATAATGCTATGATAAAACCGGTGATACTATATGGATCAGCTGTTTGGACAACTACATCAAAGGAAAACTTAAAAAGAGTACTGAAGTTACAAAAGAGAGCAGCTCGGGTGATTTTAGATCTGGACACATCAGTTCGTTCAGTTAATATGTTCAAGCAACTTAACTGGATACCATACTACGATGAAGTGAAGATATAAAAGCAACAACAGCCTATAAACGCATTATCAGTGAATCTCCCGATTATTTAGCGAATATTTAAAACTAAATTCTAGTGTAAATAGTAGGGCTACCAGATATAGTAACATCAACTTCCTATGCCCTAAATACAAGCGAGAGACTGAAGGTGGTCGTA